AAGTATTCCATGATTTATGGAATCAAGTCTCAACTTCTTATTCTGGCTTCTCAATTTTGCATATATATAAATAATTTGCATATATGTAAATTATTTATATGCTCTAATTTTATATACAAATTATTTTTATATCTATTATATATAATTTGTATATATATAAATTATTTTTATATATTTTATATATATTCATACATATATGTATATTTATGGATGAACACAATACCTTTATTTTATTTATTTATTTTGTTTATTTATTTTTATGTGGTGCTGAGGATCTAACCCAGTGCCTCACATGTGCTAGGCAAACACTCTGCCAGTGAGCCACAACCCCATCCCCTCTGCTTATTCTCGCATTTACATTTTTGACCTTGCTGACTTCATAAGTCTTTCCTCAATTCAAGGCTGTCTACATGTCCTGCCTGCTCCATGCAGCTTTCTCAGATAATGCCAATCTAGTCTCTACTGAACTTTTTATTTTTTTTATCCTGCCTTCCCGTATCCCTTTTAAGGAAAAATAGCTCATTTTTTTTCAATGTGGTTATAAATTCCCTGAGGATAAGCACCATGCTTTATTTGGAGAGTATATCTTGTTTCACTCTGTATTTGGTGGCTAATAAGATTTCCACTTTTCTCCAGCATCTTGCCTCACTGCTAGGCACACACTTGGCCTTCAGGAACACTTGTGGATTTGTGTTAGATGTGCACAGCATATGCTCAAGTGTTCAGCACACAGTGAGCACTCCATAAATTGTATTTTTAGAGACAATCTGTTACCACATAAGGACTACCAGAAATTACTCATCCTCTTTGTGTAAATGGATTTATACAATTATAATGTTTAAGACCTGAAATAAGAATGACCGAAAGAAAATCATGAGGTTTTTTTAAGCTCAAAGGAGCATTAGAACTTCTAGCTCAAATGTTTTCAGTAGTATGTCACAGAACAGGTGTGAGGTTTGTAAAAAATAATTTGTTATTAAAGATAATGTTTCAAGTTTGAAAAAGATTTACTAATTTTTAATGAGTTAATGTGGATCCCAATGTTCCTTAGTAATGACCTTATTTTTATTCAATTGGCTTCTTGTGCATGAAGGCTAAATCCAACTTAAGATGAGGCAAGTGACTCTTAAGAGAAGGAAAAGACATGCCACCCAAAGAGTTAGCAGCAGCAGGGAGGCTAAGTCCTAGGACTTCTGGTCCTTTGTCCAATGAGCCACACTCCCACTGTCCTCAGATCCTCCTCCTCACTCAACAAATAAGTAGAAATCTATATGATTTAAGAATGAACCAAGGCAGCATCTGGTAAAATTCAAAGTCTTACATAGTAGAAATACTTGTCTCCTAGTCGGGGATAAGATTTGGGAAATATTTTTTTTTTGAGAGGCAGGGCAAGAAGAGTTTGTGAAACTTCCTCTTTCCTGGCCCTCTTTCCATTTATCTGAAAAATATTTGAGAAAGCATATATTTGCTCCATTCTTCCTAAAACTTTATCATGCCCTTGTATAAATATCCATCCTTGAACTGTTGATTTTGTTCTAGAAAGGAACTAAGAAAATCTAATTGAAAAACATCAACACAGGCAGAGCATTCTCTGGATTATTCTATAACTAAATAATTAGCTTATTCTTAAAATTCACATTTGAGCTCTTTGCATAGTACAACCCAACAACTTCCTAATGAGCTCACACAGAATAAAATCTGAATAAATGCAGCATAAAATTAATGAAATTCATCCAGTAGTTCTGTCCTCCAAATTACCCAGATTACTACTTAAAACATTCGTGCTTTTCGGAGATCAACTTAATAAAACGTATTTGGCTCGTAACTTTCAACTTCAACATTTGAAATGTAATCATACTCTAAGTCCTTAGTATTCCAATGGTATCCTTTTAAATTTACTTTTTAAGATGTTGGTTTGGACAAGGATAACCTTAATTTCTTTTTTCATAACTTGCTGTAACATGACAAAAGAAAACACACGGAAAAGTGTTGCTGGATTTTTCTTTCATTCACTGGTACTGTTAATATGCTCCTCAGAAACCTCTGGAAAGCAGAGAAACTTTTGATGCTCACTTTTTTCCTCTTTTGACTCTTGCAAAAGATCATGTCAAGACTGAGGGCTTTATTTCTTTGTTTCCAGTTAAAATCTATTTGACCAGATAGAGACACATTAGCCTAGCCATAAAACTATGGCTGAAATTTATGATCAGGAAGAGGCCAAATACCACTTTTCAACTAAGAGATTTGCTCACTGAAATGAATCATTGAATTTCTGAAGCTCTGCTGATTTGTCTAAGTGTACATCAGTTTCCCTGATGATAGAAAACTTGGCAGTATTGACTAAAAGGGTGGGATGATGAACAATAAAATGGGAAAAAATATGAATTTCCCTGAAATGTGACAATGCAGTCTTTCTAGATAGATTCATAATTTAGTTTGCCTAATCAGCAAACAGAATTAGTAAACTCATTCAACAACAGAAAAGACAACTCCTTTGAAAAACAGATAAATGGAAAACTCATCATAATCTTTCCCCCAAATAAGCAGATTATTGTAATTTATAAACAAGTAAGAAACTCATTTAAACCTTTTATAGTCAAATTTAGAAGGAGAGATTAACTGAAGATGACTGGTACATTTGAATCCAGTAGAGATAAAGTCAGTTTAGTGCTATGTCCAGTCTTGACAACTGAAAGAAGAAGAGGTATAAGGTTCCAATACTAGTTTTATCAAGATCCTACTTTTTTGTGTGTAGCAGCCATTCCTAAAGTAGCCTGGAATCATAGACTACCAAATTGGGATGTATCAATTGAGTTCAACCAATTCAATGCTATTCCCAGATGGGGAACCTGTAGGTTCTAATATTGTATAAATACGTCCTTTATGAAACAATCCTGTTCAGAAATATGATGTAAGATGGTCTTGAGTCCAAAAACATTCTCTGCTACCTAGAAGACTAAAGAAAAAAAAAAACAGTCAACTACATAGAGCCATTGAAAGAACTGAATGATAAGCCTTCAGGCTTGTCAGGGAGTACATTTTCTCTCCACTCAGAATCTCCCAGTTCCAAAAGCCAATAACAAGACAATCTCACAGATCAGCAGTAATGCTACATTTGGTGGTGGTGGTTCAGGGGTAACCAAGGATTGAACTCAGAGGCACTCGGCCAGTGATCCACACCTCCAGCTCTATTTTGTCTTTTATTTAGTGCCTCACTTTTGCTGAGGCTCGCTTTGAACTCATGATCCTCCTGCCTCAGCATCCCATGCAGCTGGGATTATAGGCATGTGCCACCACCATCCAGCTAGTAAAGCTACATTTAACTCTAGAATAACATCATTGGGTTCACTGGACACACTAAAGTATCCCTGAAAATTGGGCCTATCTGCATGTAACAAAAGTTGGATCTTAACTTTGTGTTAGCATTAACTATTATGCCATTTTCATGTGGTATATCTTTGCATGTGTGTGTTTCTTATAAGCTCTAAAAACATTAAGAGTAAACATTTTTTAAAATTTCCTGAAACAGCTGGTGATCCATTGTAATTATGCCATGAACATAGATCCTCCTTTAGTGTTCATATGAGAGGCAAGTCTCATTCATTCATCCATCTATCCATCTATCCATCCATCCATCCATCCATTCATTCATTAAAGAGCTATTTATTAGAGAGTTATCATACTCCATAACACCATCAGGTTTAAACAATCTGAAAGTGAAAGTGACTTGACAAGGGAGGGATTTAGCCAAGGATCACCCACATAAGAATCCATTCACTAATTCTGTCTGCCAAGCAGTCACTTTGTGACCTGAAAGGTACCTTGGATTTCAAGTTGTAGCCAACATTCTGTCAAGATCAAAATGCCCACAAATGCCAGATAATAATCTGACAGATACCTATGTCAGATATTTCTTTTTATGGAAATATTGATAGCAAACATAAAGCAATATTTTAAAGAATAAAAAAATAATGAGTAAGTATTTACAAAGCAGGTGACTATGGAAATGCAAATCAGGTACATTTGCAGCCCCATCCAGGAATAACAAAATGTATTTTACCAGTCTTTTCTTCAGTATCAGCAGTGGCATTGTGGAATTGTTGATGAACACTTGTATATCATATGTGTTCATAATTAAGAGCTGAATTAATTTTATTCCCTTTTGTTCCAACTAATCTTTGCAAAGGATAGAATAATTGGGTATACTAGCACTGATTCTCATCCTTTAACAAAATACTTACCAATGTGGCTATTCCAATTGTTTTGGCTATCCTGTGAATGCTACATGAATAAACAGAATATATTGTGCATATTATCAACAATTTCAACACAGGTTAGTCTGTTTTAAGACCTCATGTCTGGACACCACAGGTATCTCAAATCTTTTGTTACATTATACATATGTAAGTGGAGTATAGCTGGCAGATATGTTCAGATGTGATGTTTTCACTGAGTGCAAATAGCCAGAGAATTCAATTTGCCATGATACCTCCATAATCACAGAACAAAAGAATATATTTCTCTCTCTTTCTCTCTTTCATTCTGTATCGTTTTTGGTCTTAACTCTAGCCTTTCTGAATATAGTAATAGCATTTCTGTTAATGAATTCATCATTTCTATTTCTTGGATTTTTATTTCAGCCTCTAAAAATATGAAATTATCAGATCACTACTTGTATTACACCAAATTTTATAATCAAAAACAGCTGGCTTCAGTTTAGATGTGTGAGTGTGGAGGGGCGACTGGTTATTCAGTGGACATTGCTTCAATTTTAGAGACATCTTTATCTGAACTGCTTTCATTGTTATTGTTTACCTCCAATTAAAAAAATATGATTCTACCATATATTCATGGAGAAGTATTAATATATATTTTTAACAGCTCATTTTTATCCTAATATAAAGAATAAAACCCTAATAGGTAAGCATTTGAACAGTATACATCAAGGCAAATGGGATGGTTGGCGCAATATTTTTTCTTAAATTCCTGAAGAATTTTTCTAACTAATTCAAATGTTCATTTTTAGTGAATATTTATTTATTAACTGAATCTAACTACAGCATGAAATAACTGTGTAAACAGTTTATCCAATAAAATACAATATCATTTGATCACATTTCCAATATTTCATTTTGCCTATTAACAGTCCAAAATATGACATTTATTTTCTTAAACAATGTTTCTATTTGGCACAGAAGTCTATATACACCAGAGCTTATTTCATTTGCCATTTATTCCAATAACTTGAGAACAATCATTTGCAACTAAATCTAACAGTATTTGTACAAGTACTTTCAAGCTAAAATACTGCTAAAAAAATTCCAACACACATGCAATTCAATATGTTAACATAATAACATATATTTATTATAAAACCTGTGACTCTAAGCACTTTGTAGAATGTGAATACAGGAGTCATTCTACCCTCCAATGAGATATTGTCATATCTGGGAGAGGAGATGCTGCTGAGCAGAAGAGTCCTGTGTTCAATTGAATTGAGATGGGTAGGCTACTTGGACTGTTCAGGAAGGCTACTTTGCCATCAGAGAATCACTCGATAGCTCAGTTCACACGAAACTGCAGCAGACTTTCAAGTATAAGCCCTTAGCAACCAAGAAACTGGTAGCACAAGCAGCACTGGCAAGACACACTCTTATTATGCACGTGAGCTCTGTTTTAAGCAAAGTTGATTTTGAAAATCCAAACATACAAAACAGATAAATCAGAGTGTGGTTATTTGTATTATAAAATGTTTTTCTTCTTTATAAAAGGATTCACGAGTTTCCTCTAAATTACAGCTCCCTTAATGCATTAAAATACAAGGATTTACAAAACTTCAATTTACACATGACTTTTTGCACAACCATTGTGAGAAGCAAAGTACACCTATATACAGTACTTAATTTTCTCTCTCACAATTAAGTGTCTTAATATTGTATTGGTAAAAGACACTTAAATCAAAACATTACCTTTTAAGCCACAGAAATATAAACTAAATATTGCTTCTAAAACATGAATATTCCAAAAAAATTAAGTAGGTTTGTGGTTTTGTATTTACAGTCTTGGTAGTCAACTTTACAAATTAGATCTTAGATAGCACAAATGTATAGCTATCATCAGGCCATAGTATTGGGCCCAATTTTGCAGTAATTTGTTTTATTTTGGTGGTTTCTTTTTTGTTTTCTTTTTTAGCTGTATAACTCCAAAGAGATGTTAATAGTGGCTATATTATAGCCAGCCTATTTATGATATATTGATTTTATATTGTACTGCACAGATGCATCTTTAAAAGCTCATCCATCTGCATTGCATTATTGTTTCCACTGTTTACTCCGAGTGATTGTCATTCGGGTAAAGTTTTCCTTTATTTGAACTAAGCTCCTTGCCAGGTGGGAGAAAGATCCTGTGAGGGTGAGGGGGATTGGTAGCAGTGGAAGTGGGGGATGAGGAGGGTGGAGTGGGGGCAGCAGAATTCCTGCTTGCTGTATCTCTGTGTACCCTCAACACACAGCATAGAGCCTGGCACCTAGGAAGCAAGCATTCAAGAAACATTTATTGAATGAATGAGTGGATGAAGAAACGAATGGTTTTGAATTGTCTGGAAGATTTTCTTTACTCTAGCAATCCAATCCAGTAGGTTTCTGGAATGTGTACAATAAAAATGAAATTTTAGGATCCAAAAAATTACAGAACCTCTCTTATTGGTTGTAAAAAATGTAAAACCTTAAAATACGGAGCCCTTGAAAACATGGAATCATTTAGAAAAATTAAGTCACCTTAGAGGTGAGATGACAAAGAAGAGGAAATTCAAGGGTCATTTCCTTATTCACCAAATGCTGGAGGGAACTAACAAGGCACACAGGTTGGCCATCCACACCAAATTAGACTCTTGGCAATGGTGTCCATTCTGAGAAGTGGAACTTTTGAGTATTTCAATACAAATTTAGCCAGAGGTATACTTGGAAACAGTAAAAGAAACTAATTAAGAGCTAGAATCAAAGGGAATTACCATTTGCCATTGTAGGTTCAGACATCTAGATCTGTTACAGGCAGGGCCCTGGGAACTGCATTCTGTTGGCTGGAACCATTTGTGCTGTAGCTCACACCCTTTAGAAGCTGCATATGACGTGAAAGGGAAATAGTAAAATCCAGCTGAAGGAGATAAAAATGAAAATCCTAAAATAAAATATGTTTGAAAGCATTTGAACGGATAAAGCAAAACAATATGGTCAGTGGAGATGAAAATACATTAATAAAACTCAAACTTTTATGATTAGTAGGAAATAAAGCTTCAAAGTATATGGTGTATTATGTTTTTAGATGAAATAGTCTTGACATTCAAATGATTTTGTCTTACAACCTAAAGTAAATAAAGAATGAATCTAAGAAACATAAGAATAAAGAATTAAATCACAATTTTTAAGCAAAATAGTTTAAGAATTTGAGTTCTTCCAGGAGGCCTTATTATGGAACTAAATGAATGTTACAGTAGCTTTCTTTAAGATTAATGAGTGAATTTTTCTAAGGACACTAGCATTTTATAGGAGTGGATTTACTTTAAGGAGAATAATAACAAACACAGAAGTGAAATTACTATGACGATAGCTCTAGTCATATGGTTAAGCCTAAAAACTAATTTAAAGACAATATCTGTTAATTTGTCTTCATAATAACTTTCCAATATACCTACTTCTGTATTCTGTATTTATTATTATACCACAAGAAGAATTTTTCAAATTTATATGTAAGCAATTCAATGACAAGGTGATATCCAAGAGCTTTCTCCGACTTCAACTGTTGTAATACTCTAGCTTTTCCTCTGAGAAATGTAAAATTTCTGTACATTAAACTTTCTTGTAGACCATTTCAGCCCACCATTTTCAACTTTGAGCTAGTGGATTTAAACAGGAATTTTGATCTCTAATCAAAGAATGAACATGTTAGCTTCTCACTCTAGATATTCATATTCAGAGATTTCAAATTGTAAGGACATTTTTCCTGAATTCCCTTTACATTTATGTATGTATACAATTATCTTCTATTGTTTAAAAAAGTATTTTGCACCAGTGGTTATTAATCCAAACAATTTCGATTAACGTAACTTCTAATTGAAAGCCTAGTGCAGGAATTGTTAATAGTGACCAACAATATACTATTAGTCATTTTAAAGCTTTAAAAGTAAGTTATCAGGATCCACTTCAATCTCCACATGATAATAAAGGATTATTATGTGCAGTAACCTATTTATGAAAAGGAAACAGTGTGCTTCTTTCAGACGCCATCACTTGCTTTAATAAGGAATTGAAAAGCTGGACTACTTTATATGCAGATCACCATCCCAGTTGCATAAGGATTTACAATAGACAAAACAAAACTATTTTTTGTTGTAAAGAAGGGCTGTTTGTTTAAATCACACAATAATGTTTGCATCTCAAATTATTTACAGGCTAATAAGGCTTCATAAATGTTATATAGACTTGATTAGTTAAAATCATTTTAATGCTAAGAACAAAATGAAAGGCTTGCTCAAGCAGACAAGAAAATTTTCAAGTAAAATATGGCTAAAGAAGGCAAAAAGAGAAAAAGAAGTTTATTATCATGGTTTAGGTAACTACTAATTGATTTGGAGATGCAAATAGTACATGATTTGGTAGCACCCCATTAATGCTTCAATTAAACTCAGGAGGAAAATGCTGCTTTGTCATAAAATGTGAAAACTGAGAATTCTGAGTCTAAATTTAATCCTAAAAGAAATAGAAAGTAATGTGTACATTTTTATCTTCTGCCTTGAATTTGCAGAGAACTTATTTGGGAAGTTTTAATCTCACCTTTGAAGTCTTCCTTCAAGGTATTTAATGGCTCATACGTCTTTGTTAAATGAGGTGTGTGGCGGCCTCTACTGGTGTGTGTTTATAGAAAATGTTTCAGTAGGCAGAAAAAATATTAATTTCAATTAAAAAGTTAGAAATACAGACTCTTTCATTTAAATATATAAAAATATCTAATTTAATGCAGAAAAAATATATTACAAGTTGTGTAATGTATTCTTAATTAGGAAAATAATCTAAAACACTGACCATGTTAGTGTAAAATAATGACTTATGGAAGGGCATTAATTGTTCAATTCACTCTGATATTGGGTTAAATATATTTTATTAATGAATCACTAATCCCAACTGAGGTGGCTTATTACCTCTAGTCCACTGTTAAATCCCCTTAGTTGACTTAAATAAAATCACTTAAAACAAACCCAGAGGAAAGCAAATATTTTACAGTTAAGTCTTTAAAGTTCTAAACTAGAATCATTTCATGACAGGCTGGTTTCTATAACTCAAGCAAACTGTACGTTGACTTAATATAGCTGACATATAGATCTATTTTACAGTGTTTTCATTTTAAAAATACAACACATTAAAATATGTTCAATTTATCAAAGCTAAAAGCAACATTTAAGTAATGTACTTAAAGTGCGAAGGCACTTTAACACAAAGAAGTGATGCCCAGTGGCTATACTTGGTAACTGAAGATGGAAACGCCAAATATCATTATTTACAAAAGAAGTTATAGTTCCAAAAGATCTTTGGAGATCTTCTAAAAATACACTAATTATCCATTTTCATTTGAAAAGTCTGTCTATTCTTCGTTATTAACTATAATCTCCTCTTTCCACTCCCACACTGGAAAAAAGAAGAAAATAGAAACAAAACCATAAACAAAATATATGAAAAATGCATTGTAGAAACATTCATGTCCACTGATGGTTCCTAAGAAGAAAAGGGGGGAAAGTGGGGGAAGAGTGAGAAAGAAATAATTTAAAGGAAAACTTGCAAAAGCAATACCATTGCTTCACCCCATCTCCCAAACATTATCAAAGTCCCCCATTAACACTGGGAAAGGGAGAACACAAACAAACACAAAAGCAAATGCAGTGCTTCCGACAGTTTGGAGCAGCATCCTTTGATACCATAGGGTTGTCAATGATTTCCCTTCACAGCTGACTGATTGCAGTTTGTTTTTCCAGAACTTCGAGGTAGTCTGGTTCTGATTGCGGCTTAGCTTGCAGTAAAGGGTGGTCGGGCTTTGACTGCCCCACAAAGCATTTTCTGGGAGTTCCATATAAAACGGTTTTATTGATTCTGTCTTGGTTTTGGCGTCGAGATTCATATGAAGGGGCAAACTGCCTTTTAGGTAAGGTACAAAAGTTATAATGGACTAGGCCTGCGCTGGGGAGTTCCTTGACTCGCTCAGCAATATTTTGATAGAGCATCTCAGGCTCTCTTGGTGTGGCCTGCTTTTCCAGCAATTCGGTGGCACTTATTGTGTAAGCAAGTGTGGCTGGCTCTTCTTTTTTCTCCTCCAGGTTGCCATAGTTGAACTCTTGCAAATTTCTGTAATAGGCTACTGGGTCTCCCTCTTTCTGCATGTAAATGGGGTTTTGGCACATCTGCCCCACAGGTGGGGGAATATAGTTGTAGACATGGCCATCTGTTTTATCATGAGTCTCAGTGTTGTATGACCCATACTGTAATTGGAAGGAACTTACATCTAAGTTGTTGGCACTCCTGGGAACACTTGGCACTCCCTTCCTGCGTTTCAGGACAAAGACAAACAAACCAGCCCCAAAACAGACAGAGAGGATGAAAACAACAAGCAATCCTAAAATTAAGACAGACAGTGGTACTTCTGTGTGTAGTTCAGGATAGGAACTAGGAGACACACTAAGTGACCGAGGAGTGTCTGTGTTGTGATTCATTGACAAAATGGTCCCATCTGACAAGTTTGGGCTATCTGGACAAATAGCCTCCCTTCCCAGAAATTTCAGTATCTCCCCTGCATGCTTGGCAGGAGACTCACAAGTCACCTCATTGATGATGACTGGGGAATTGGCATGTTCTGTCCAGTCCTTCAGCCCCATGATGTCACAGGTGCAGTCCCATGGGTTCTCTTGCAGATCTATTTGTATAAAAGCTGGAAGCTGATCCAGAACCCCTTTCACGGGCAGGTGTGAAAAATGGTTGTTTCTCAGATTCAGCCTGGTGAGGGCTGTGCCCCCAAATATGTTATCTGGTAAGGACCGGAGCAGGTTATTATTCAGGAACAGGAGCTGTAAGTTAATCAAAGCATCAAAGGTCAGCGGCTTAATTTCTTTAATGACATTGTACTCTAAATAGAGATATTGCAAGCTCTGCAGTCCATCAAACATAGAAGGATACAGCACTTCAAGGTAATTACCATTCAGATAAAGTCTGCGTAAACTGGTCAGGTTTGTGAAGGCACCTTCCTGAATGACTGCAATTCTGTTGTTTCCTAAGTGCAACAAATCCAAAGAACTGTATTCTAAGAGGTCATTCTTATAGACAGTTTGAAGATAGTTTCCTGTTAGGTAGAGTTTCTTTGGACTGGTAGGTTTGGGCTGTAGGTCAGAGATATTAGTGAACTTCCTTTCTTGGCAGTTAACATTTAGACCATTGTCTGAGCTCTGACAGGTGCAGACACAGCTACTGGGGCAAGTGAGGGGCACAGGGGACTTGGTTTGGTATACCATGATTGGCCCAAAACTCTGCCTGTCCTTTGACACAGTTACTCTGGGAGTAGGACGATTTCTCATTTTGGGTGGCCGGCTGGCTTTAGGAGCCCTGGTTGGGTTGAGAGCAGGATTCATTGTAGGCGACAGCCTTTGCACATGTGTATCAGGGTGGCTGCCTCTCTGACTAGAGTCACCAATGCTTTTTCTGGGACAGAGGTCTTGCCTGGTCAGTTGGGTCACATCTTTCCCATGCAACCTGAAAGGAGTTTCACAGACAATTTCCCCCACGAAAACAGTTATGGTGTCCAGCCAAGCCTTGAGAGGAAGTAAATCACAAGTGCAATTCCATGGGTTTTCCTCCAGCTGAATCTCCATGATTCCTCCGATATGTTCAAGGACACCAGCAAAAGGCATTACTTTCAGCCTGTTTCCCCTCAAGTCTAAGTGGGTCAGCAGGACAAAGCGAAACACATTGCTGGGCAGCGACAGCAGAAGGTTGTCATTCAGGATGAGCACTTTGAGTTTATTAAGTTTGCTGAATGCCCCAGCCTCAATGGCACTGATGTAATTGTAGTCGGCCTGGAGGTACTCCAGGCTCTCCAGGCCCAGGAATGTGTCCTCCCGCAATACCTCCAGCTTGTTGTTATTGAGGTGCAGTCTCTTGAGGGTTTTCAGGCCGCTGAATGCCCCGGTTCGGATCTCCTGCAGTCCGTTGTTACCTAGGTGAAGAGTCACCGCGTTGGAGTAATTGACAAATTCGTTGGGATACAATCTCGTCAGGAGGTTTCCATTGAGAAAAAGCTGATAGATTCGATACTGGGGGGGCTGGAGCAGGCTGACAGTTGTAAATCCTTTGTTTTCACAGTTAATATTCAGTACATTTTCCTTCTCTTCGCACAGGCAGCGGATCTTGCAAATGTCTTTGGCAGTTTTGCGACTCTCCGTCTGTAAGATCCCAGCCACTGTTAACACACTGAGGAACCAAACGCCGCTCAGCATCTTTAGGCACCTTCAGTGTCAGCTCAGGTACCTACAGGCAAACCTTAAGTGGGGGGCAGGGGGAGGAAGCGGGATGCAGAGAAGAAAGAAACAAGGAAGGAAGATTAAAATGGCAAAGCAAGAGGGTGGAGTGGGAGGGAGGGTGAATGAGGGGGTGGGCAACACAGCAGAATGAAATCACTGCTTTCTCAAAGCGGTTTCTTCTCTCCTTTCCCTGCCCACTTCCCCCAGCCCACCCACACACTTGTTCCCGAATACACATGCTTGCACCTGATTTCCCAGCGGGTCGCAGCCAGCCGCGGAGTCATTAGTAATGACTTGTCCTACTAAATCTAGCCCACCTCCTCCTCCCCTGGGGTATCTCTAAGACATTTCGGGGGGCTCCCGCGTTTGGGGCTGGAGAAATTGCTTTACTTCTTCTTCTTCTTTTTTTTTAAACTGCGCAAAAAGGGGGGTGGGAAAATCAGGAATCGGGGATGGCGGCGGGGGTGGAGATGGGAGAGCAAAGACAGCTCATAGAGAGGGGTACTCACACATCAGGAGAAGACGGGACCCCCCTCCTCTGCAGTCCACCAGGAGTTTAGCATCTTCAGGAAGAGAGGGAGAGCAAGGTAAAAGAAGACGCCACTTCCAGAGGGGATGCCCAGCTTTTTGTTGGCTGCTTTAATTTTGTTGGGGGAAGGGTGTGCATAAATTAAAAATCCTGCGGGCGCAGAAGAGGAAGACGAAGGTTTGAGCCCCAGAGAAGCTGCGCTGCCAGTGCCCTGGGTGCAATTGCGTAGGGAGGTCCGGGAGCTGCCGGCTGGGGCGGCGGGCGGCGGGCGGCGGCCACAGCAGAGCCTGGGCGCGCACTTCCAATCCGATGTTGGCGGCAGCAGTGCGTCTAGCAGTTTGAATTTTAGAGGCTTAGCAAGCTCCCTGGGACAGGGCTAGGGTGACGTCACGGGGGGAGGGTGTAGGCAGAGGATCGAGGGCGCACGGTGGGGGAGGGTGGGGCAGATGCTTCCCTTCTCTGCAAGTGGCTTTGCAAAGCTCTATTCCAGGCTGCGTCAGTTGATTCTGAACTACTCCACCTCCAACCCTGCTGGCAGCCAGAGAAGCTTCTGCAGAGGGGTTTCTCAAGAACCTGCCTGGCTAAGGCACTGGCATCACCAGAACTTCTCAGACCCCTGAGTGGTCTTTTCCACACCCTCTTTCTCACATGCATGATAAGGGCAGTGACCTGTACATTCCAGGTCTCATCCCAGACCCAAGCAAGGGTCCAAAGCCTCTTAGGAAGGCTGTGTGATTTTTGCCTGTTTGCTACAGTACTGATGTCCACCAGCCAGCCTTCTGGCTTAGATGTCCTCAGTGCAGAGAGTGGGGTGACTGTGTAGGAGGGCCAGGAGTCCCCCTAGGGGATTATGCTTTATTTACATACAGAGCTTTGTTTCAATGTGAGAGAATTAATTTCTTAGTGATGACTGGCCATGCACATATTTGCTTGGACTCTGAAACCCAGCAACTATAAGCTTGAAAACTGAGATAAACAAACATAACCCCCAGGTTAATATTTAGATAATAAGGTTTAAACGTGTGCTTTTTTCCTGGAGTTAGGAGAAGAGGAGTGGGTGTCAGAGAGGCACTGCCAGGATGAACCTCAGCTGAGAGTGGGAGCCCAAGGAAGGCCTGTTAAGTCCTCCAGGCTGCAGGGCTAGGGGAACAAGGAGAACAGAGGAAGGCAGTACAGTAAGCCTGGCTCCTGAGAAAGAAAGCAGAGGTAAAAAAGAGTCATGGTCTAAGACCTGGTGCACCTGAATTCTGATCTAGTTCTGTTGCTAGGTATGCCACAAGCTTCTTTTGGACCTTCCTGTGTGCATTTGGTAAAGAGGGTAGACTCTGTTCCCCCCTAGCTTTGACACCAATTCGGGTTCAAATAACCTTTCCAGTGCATTGCTAATGGCTGAAAAAATGTTGGATGTTTTCCTTCATTATCTCCTTTTTCCTTGATTATCTTACATCCCCCAGGATCCAGGAGTCTCCTAGTGTAGTCTGTTTGCAAGGTGTAAATAATAGCTGCTGTTGCCTGGAAGAACTGTGGGCTGCCTCTGGTGGGAAGGGGTATACATGTCAAGAAAAAGAGAGAATGAAAGAGAATGAGGAAAGGAATTGATCAAATGCTTTCCCTGTCCTGTAGAACACTTCAGCTTGATTCCCTTCCTCTTCAGCCCCCAACCTGCTGCAGATAGAGTGGATACAAGTTCTTATTTCCTGGGCAAACACAGGAGAGAACCTCATGCAGTCAAAATGAGCCTTTGAGAATGGAAAGCCTCCTGTTTTTCTCTTATTCTTTCCTGTTGAGACCAGGTCATAGGATTGTGCCATTTTACTAGATCTTCCTCTGCCCCAAGAACAGCTAGGGTTATTTATAAACTTAGGCATCAAGGAAACCTGTGGCTCTAGCAATCTCCTGTACATTTTTCTCTGACATTTCCCATTCCTTCTCCTCCTCCGTCCAAGAAAAGGCTTGGAACAGGCATCAGGAGCCCCCTTAACCCCAGTAATTATTTTGTGACCTTTTAGAAGGATGCTTTCCCTTGTGAGCCCCAAATTCTCCTCTGTGTCACTGGGCAACATTGTGATGAGCAGTCCCAAGGGACGCAGGCAGCTGTGGATGGCCTCCTAATCTCTAAGGCAGTTGTATCCTTAGATGCAAACAGAGTGATGCATTGTGAGCACAATTAAGCTTCCTTTCATAGCAAAGAACATTCTTTTCTACATACTTCCAAATATTAAAAGTACATTATTCCTAGAGAGAGATGGTTTATTTATTCATTCATTCATTCAACAAATGAATTAGGTTAATATCTCATTGAGACAGAAGCCAACATTACAGCTCAATGATACCTTAGAAATCAGATTTATTTTATAGATGAGGACATTCCTCAACCAGGGAAAGTGCTGACTTGGTTAAGTTCAAGAAACTAAAATTAGAAAGAGAACATGGATTCTGAGTCCCAGTCCAGCAGCTTTCCAAACAGTCTATCACTGCTTAATATGAATTAGAGAACTATCTACCTAGGCTTTGGTGGTGGTGTTTTATATTTTACATAGATGAGGTCTTCAAATTTTTATATTTAAATTAAATATCAAATATTATTTTTAGTTATTAAATATAGTAATTCTCTTCAGGACATTGATGCTGCTGTCAGTACTCTTTGAAAAGAGAGACTATTTTGCTAGAAATCTCAGTGGGAAGGAGGGAGGGAAGGAAATAGGGAAAGAGATGGGGTTGGAGCTTCTTGAAATCTTTGACACTTAGAGAATAAAGGAAATGTGGTGGTAAGCTAACTGGGGGGAGTGACATCGGGTATCCTGCGGTGTTGTGACAGGTCTTCATTATGTGGGCAGCTTCCTACACTGGTCGGTTGACCCTTCCACCACTATTTCATCTCCACCCTGTGTATGAGCGTCCACAGCCACTTTCTGAAACATAGTTACTGGGAACAACAACAACAACAAAAAGCCTCAAACCCGATTAGCACTTTTAAGTAAGTTTCATTGGGCTCTGCTGCTCAGATAGAAGTGCCACAGCACCCTGCTAAGAAAAGCAGGCTTTGAAAGGAAATGGAAGTGTTCAAGGTGAACTGGGAGCCCAAGAGAGGCAAGGACGAAAGCAAAAATAAAGAAAACGCTCCTTCTCCTCCAACCAAAGGCAAGGGAGGCTTAGACACGAACTCCTCCGTCTCAACCTCGCTTGCCTCTATCCGAGGAGAGAGCTTGGCTCTGGTCGCCCAAGCTTCCCTGGGATTTAGAGGGTGCCTGCCGGCAGGCGAACAACCACCTATCAGGCCAAGACGGGGTTGGGGGCTGGGATACCTGAGAGGGGAATCGCATGCCTGCAGACCCCTTCATCGCCCTCCCATCCTCCTGGCACCTTCAAGCGAATCCCATTGCTGAAGGATTTTTCCGGGAAGCAGGGGTCTCAGTGCCTAGAATGGGGCACCGGCCACTAGCGCCACCCTACCTTCCCACGCTGTAGCCGCCAGACGCAAGATGCCCAACCAGGGTTACGGCAGCCGCGACGGCGGCCACTCGCGTTGCCCTAGCCATGGAGCTTGGGCACCGTGGATGGCTGGAGCCTTCTCCGGAGCCCCAGCTCCCACCGGGTCCGCGGGCCACCCCTGGCAGCGGTGACCACGGGGCTGCACGACACACGCGGGTCCCGACCACACCCGCGCAGTGGTCCAGGGTAGAGGAAGCCTGAGCAGGGACTGAGGGTAGAGAGCAGTAGCCTATAAGGTGCCCTCAGTGGATTGAGCCCAGCCTCCCCACTCCGGTTCATCCTGAGAAGCTAAGTGAAGCCAGCTCATGGCTCAGTCACCAGGGTATTCCCGAGTGTTCAGAACTTACCGAGCGATCCTGCCGCCAGGATCTTCCCCTGGAGGCACCCGCAGCATCTGCGACTCAGGGAGGCGCAGGAGCCGGCACTGCCTAGGACCAGTGTGGCCAGGGAGCCAGGGCATAGGCGGGTGTGCGGGCGGTGTCCCCAAGGCAGGCAGATCCCCACTGGAGCAGCTCGCCAGGGCAGCGCTTCTGGCAGGAAAGAGGGAGGGAGTCGAGAGGGAGGAGGAAAGAAGATCTGGAGGGAAGAGAGGGAAAGGCGGGAGCGAAGGACGGGACGGAGGGCCCTCTCCCGCACTTATCAATCACCCCCGAAGATCAAATGTCCCCGCTGTGCACCCAGGAGGGGGATGTACCAGCCCACAAAGAAGCCGCTGCTCCATTTCTCTGACAAGCGCTGTGGAGCGCTGCTCACGCCTCTCGGCCCCTCTCGCCTGGAACTCTGCCCAGCTCTCGCAGCTTCTACCATGGGCTGCAGCTTGGACTCGGCCAAGTGAAATAAGGATGGCACTCAGTCAGTTCCACTTCCAAGGGGAAACTAAGACCACTGGGTGGAAGTTATGGACAAGTGAAAGAGCAGAAAGAACAGCCAGCCGTCCAAGCTGGACACCCTCCGGACGGCTGCCTCCCTTAACTAGTAAGAGCCCAATCACTGGAGTCCGCATGCAGATATACAAGGACCTCCTACGGGGATGGTAAACAAGGAATTTCCAAATAATATAAAGCTGGGCTAGATTTGTGCAAATACCTTAACAAAAGCAAGCCATCAGCAGCGTACCAGTCCCAATTTTAACTCTGATTGTTTTTATTCTTCACAACGTTGCCTGGATCTACTAGGGAATTCTTGCCATCCTTCCTTCCTTTAGTTCTCATTTCTTCTTCCTCTTATTAGTAGTCCAGGTTGTGATTCTATTAAAGGAAGGCACTCGGTTAAAGAGAAAAAAGTGTTTCAAGAAGGTGGTGAGGTTTATGCCAAGAGCATTGCGGTTCCCCTCAAGACCTGCTTTCCCTGGGGCCTCTCCTCCCCGCTTGGAGCATTCAGGTTAAAGTAGTTTCATTAATTTCAGCCAGGAATAGGGAGTTTTATTTGATGACCCTAAAACATTTTCCCCTTACTCTTGGAGGAGACTGGCTTTAATGGAAACAATCACAGCACCCTGCCCTTTTCATACCCTCTGAGAGTCTGGCAAACCTCAGATGATTCAGGATACCCAGAAGCTTGGTGGTGGAGTGCAAATCAGAAAAAAGTAAAAAAGTAAAAAAACCTCCCCGGCTCTGTAGCTAATGAATCTGCATTAGCATTTATCTGTTTTCAAGGTTATTTCCCATATATTTGAACCAGGTTCTCACAGCTCTGATTTCCACCTCCTTTCTGTCCTTTCCCTTGGGAATCGTTCTTCCTCTCTGCTCTTCTTGGCTTTATTTCCATAATGGTTTTTTAAGAAGATTGTGCTATGCTGGGTCTTTAAAAGAGAAAATTGCTGATAATCTTATATTATGAACATATGGAGTTTACTTTAGTAATAGTCCAAAGAATTATCTTATAATTTTATCTCTGGGTTTTAAGGATCATTACTGCTCTTTTTACTTCTTGAGAAAGCCTTTTTGAAATTTCCCTGCCATTCAGATAAGCAGTTTCAGAAGAACATAGTTATCACATATGCACATGGGCAGACTATTTCCAATTACATATTTAGAAACATTGCTCTTCTTTTAAAAATATCCCTATTTATGTAAAACATCCAATGCACTGTTTGGTACAAACTATATAGTGGTCTGGGCACATGATGCTATTACTCTCTGAGGGCAGTTAATGCTGTACTTCTCTGTCTTTACCTCATTTCTGACCATGTCATCTTTTCATGTAGTTATTTAATGAGTGCTAAAACAACTACAAAACTAAGAGCTTTGAGGCCATTCAAATGCAGAAATAATGAGACAGTCATGCTGGAAAGAGGAGATAGTTTACTGAGAAGAGTGTTGTTTCTCTAGCCAAAGGGAACACAAAAAAAGCAATAACTTGTATGCAGATTATATAAAGAGCATAATATCAATGCTAAAAACTGATATTTTATTTTATCCACTGGAACTATGCTATATATGTCATACATCAATTTTAATTAGCCTTGTAAGCAAGTTTCACATGCTTACCAGCCTTCAGGAAGAATTTAGCAACCTGCCTTTCCACATGGGACCACACTGATAGTAAGATAAAATTAAAAAAGAGCAGACTTTTCTTTTTGTCAGCATAAAATTTTCAAGTAGGTGGGTAGCTTTTTCGAATGGTGCCCTGAATGCATACACACACAAAAAAATGATGAGCAATACAGAACTTTCTGTGAGGGTTGTTGCATAGATAATTATAGTAGAAGAGAGCTTAAAGTGTGTGAAAAATGTAAATGTACCAATTTATTTGAAGGCTGCTTTATACTGACTTTTCTAGAAGTTTCTGTGTTGGGGGAAATGTCCAAATATAATTGAATACCAGAGATGCATATCTGAATGCATTCTGTTAATTCATAAAAATCAGATTATTAATCCTTTGGTTTGGTAGCATTGTAAATGTATCACTCCGATTGTAAGGTTCATGTTCTTAAAGGAATTAGAGATCCCTGATTGCAATGCCAGTGAGAGGAATGGATAAATAAGATGAAATATTGCCTGGATTTTTATACTTTTATTTTAAGATTAGAAGAAAAGCAGAAATTTCACCTAGGATGAATAATCAAAAAAGTACATGCTTGTAAGATGATGCAAATGCTGTCCAATTACTGTTTGGACATAGTTTACCTGAGAATATTGTTTCTCCACCTATTCACATCTATCCAGAAACCTTCAAATAAAGAAGAGAAAGAAAGAAAAGAGAGAAACTTCATGTGGAGTCAGTAATTTTAAGACAGATGTTCTGACTTTTCAGAGAATACTGTTCCTTTTGAACCAAACATTTCAAAGAAGAGTTCCATAGGACAAATTCCTAAATAAAGAAATTCAGCACAAAGAGGACATGCCCTTAATACTAGTAATTACAGTTTAAAAGATATTGTAGACTTTGGTTCCTGATGCTATTGGAAACATAGATATTTTTAAATTCAGAGCAATTATATTGATTATTTTGGCAGGCAGTGTAACTTGGTTGAAATAGTATGCCAGGAACCAGAGCAGTTTGTCTTTTAAGCAAACATATCTGGAGCTCTTGGAGCCCAATGACCTGGGTTCCGATCCCACCCTGCTATTTTCTCATCATGAGTCCAGAGTAATCCCTGCACCACTTTCAGTTTCCCCATATGTAAAACTGGATACTTGCAGCTGCCACATGGAGTTAATAGGGACAGGATATATATAAAACTCTTGAAACTCATGTTTCTTGAACTGAAATATTCCTACACTCCCTAGAATACATAACTCCCTAGAATACAAAAAATGTAATAATTGTAGTGAGAACACAATATTTTAATTTTTAAAATTGCTGAATGATAAGACCAGGGTTAGAAAAATAATATCAATCCAGTTGGGGCTATATAATAGCAAACATTCAAAAGAAAACTTTAAAATATTTCATCATTTTCCACAGATTTTTCCAAATAGTTGAATATATGTATATATGAGAATGTTTCCATCTCAGCATTATTGACTTATTGGACAAGATGATTACTATTTGTTGAGGGTGGCTATCTTGTGTGCTGAGGAGAGTTAGCCACAGCTCTGCAGTATATACATATCTGCATTTGTATATAAACACATAACTTGTATTTTAACACTTGAACAATTTGAAGGAACATAATGTACATTATGACAGTTGACATAGCCCATGGAAGATCCCAGGCTGCCTTATGCTCTGCTTTGTTGCCTACTATACTCTACAGCCTGCCACCTCTTATGCCCCAAGTGCCATTAGTAGAAGTAGATGATACATACTGGTGTTGCTTCTCAGGAAGAAATATATTTTATATTATGACTCTGGGCACAGTCATAGAGTGAAACAAGAGTTTTCAGAAACAATATTACCCTCATCACAACCTTGCAACCGGAAATATTCTATTGTAGTTGATTTAAAAAAATTGCTGGCTGTGGCCTACTAAATTGATTTCAGGAGTGACTAATAGATTGTATCCCATAGTTTGAAAACACTAACACACTGGATTCACCAGGAAATGAAGGAAAATGAGACAGAAAAGAGAAAGGGGGCAATATATACAGAGGAAAACAATAGGAATAGAGGAAAAAAAGTACATGTGGTACACAGTTGCAGAAAAATTTATGGTGCTCAACCAATTATATCAGGTCCCAACAAGCAATGGCCCCTATTCCCTAAGGGTTCTAGATCTCTCCCTTTGATAGCTAAGTCCAGTGATTCATCAATTAGAGTCATATTTAATCTTACTGGATTTGGGAGTAAATATACATGGCAAAATTCACAGATTGTACAGATAAGGCTTGGGACAGTATTAGTAGATATTTCATTTATTCTGACACATTATATCCTATTAATCTCACTGCAACTGGAAGTTTTATTTTGGTCTGGAGTTACAACCTAATATCTTCAGGAGGAAACCAAATTTATTGGGTTTGACATTGCACTTTATTGGAATGGTATAAAATAGTTGAGTCTCTGTTCTGAGTTCTGTTGATTTTATTTATGTATTTATGTTAGGCTAGTACAAATATATGGTAAACTATGTGCTGTGGTAGAGAGTTTAATGCTGACTCTGCCAGAACACTTAAAAATGTCTGCATGCAGGCTGCCCAGTTCTAAAGAGTTACAACCAGAAAAGCAGCTACTAAGGATTTGCATTAAGTATTTCTGATTTTTTAAAATGTCATCACTTATGAAGAGGACTAATTTATTAATATTAAAAATGGCAAAGATGACGCACTCCAGATCCACCCTGAAGTTGTAATTTGCAAAAAGGAAAACAGGGTTTTGAAATTGTGGCTTCAGAAGCAAGACAAATAAAATCTAGAATGTAAATAAAATCATTCCCAAGTAAGAGGTAGATGTAGCACTCAACCATCACTACTAATCAATGGATTTTTTTTCTCTTGAATCCTGATGACTTATTATTCAGACTTGATATCAGTTCTCTTTTTTCCATTTTTTATCTCCCAGATAGTTCATAAGTGACATTACAATGACACCTGGCACCCAACACTATTCACCTGAATATGGCAGATGACAACACTGTTACATCAAATGTAATAACCGCAGAACATTTGTAAAATAACTTTTGCCTCTGCCTATGGAATTACTATAGTTCCTAGGGAAAGAAAAAAGGCTTTATATTTCTTGTTTGTTGATAATGTAAATATCCCTGAAGTTCTCTGAGAAAAATGGACTGAAATGTATCCAGAATGGAGGGACCTTATGGAGTATCTAAAAGCATCATGTTGGGGCAACCCCAAGAAGCTGACAATATTGGAGCATA